ATAAGTCTTCTCCAACGAATACGAAGTCGAGCCTGTCTCGGTTCGCCTTCGGGGCCTATAGTCCACAATCCGCTCGACAATCCACCGTGACGAGCCGTTCGCATCGCGCAGCGGCGGTAGTGAAAAAAATACCCTCCGCATGGTAAACCATAGATTGACCATGGTTCTCGCGCTTTACACTACCTTGCAGCCGCTCTGGAACGGACCCAGAGCACGGGGCCCACCGGCTTTTGGCAGGAGCTGTGCAGCCAAAAGGTACAGCTCGCTGTGGTCGCTCAGACCGCTTCGAACGTCCAAGTCGAACTTGGAGCGAATCTGGCGAGGCGAGCGTGTGGGCGCGCTATAGAAGCTGATTCACGCTGTTTTGTCGTCCTCCTCGAGCCATCAAGACTAGATGGCTCGTGCTGCACACATGACTTTAACAGTCCACCGTAAAATGTTGGGTGGAGCGGCATGCTTGTCGGTATGTACAACGTATACACGTTACAATGCCGTTCAAGCACCGTGAACGGAACGATGAAGCTCGGAGCAAGCAAGCTTCCTCCGAAATCCAAAACTGCATGTCTAGGTAGGTTCTGTGTAGCTAACAGAACTAACGAACTCTTTTGGAATTCATTTTTTGTTTCCTCTGCCAACATCGTCTGTTCCCAAACGCTGCTATCGCGTCCTCGACATACCGTATTACGGCTAGTCGACGCTGGGAGCCGCACCGGCACCGCACAACGGCGATGGCTGCAACGGTGGCTGAGAGAGCAGAGACGAGGCAACCACGTCGGCGGCTAGTACCTGGTCGGTAGCTGAAACCACACCGGCCAGTGTTGACATTTCGGCCAGAATCACGTTTTATGGACGAAGCAGGTGAGATCGAAGGGCCGACGGAGGTGGCACACCGCCTTTTTGTACTTAGGGCCGTTCCAAACGGGATCAGGTGCGGAGCATGATCCGAAATCCTCGATTGTGATTGGTCGCCAAAAATACACGTGGTGCCTCCCAACTGGTCTGGTAATCCAAGGGAAGGTTCACAACCCATTGTTGGATCATAGGATCATAGCAGCTACCAACAACTATGAAAATTACGACGATTATCTTGTTGGCCACCGTAGTTGTCGCTGCTCGCAAACAGACCTGTCGCCGTGCCAAGGTGGTTCCTCGTCAGCGCCTCGAATGGATTTCACACCGAGAGAGGCTGCTGCTTGAAGGCCAATTTAATAGATACTACAGAATGAGTGCTGATGCCTTTGACAAATTAGTACATCGCCTGACACCAATGTTGGCTCATTTGCACATCAAGTCTGTAAATAGAACGGGTACACAACCTATAGAGGTTGTGAATATGGTTCAAATGACGATTTCGTGGTTTTTCCGGTGGTTCATATCACACAATACGC